GGCGCACGCACGCTACCACGGGCACTAGAGCAGCGTTTGCTACCGTTCCAGCGCCAAAAGTAGCTATGGGTACTGCACTCGCGACGCAATGTCACTTGAACCTCACCCAAGTTGGGGAAGGGTGGGGGCCGGTGCAATTCCTACTGCGTGTGTACAACTCAATAATCGCAGTTTTTGGAAAAAATTTTTTCAAGTCTTCTCTCTGTCGGTGCTCTCCTCATCCCCCGAGCTAAAACTCAGCGCATCCGACCCATCACTCTCACACTCAGACTCCTCAGACGTCCAATAGGGCGGAGCAGCGTGCCGCACACTCTTTATGTCTGCTGTGGGCCCAATAAAGTCAATCCAAGACGCCAGACGCTTTCCCACACACACTCAAAAAAAAATTGAACAAAAACACGCTCATACCCGATCATTTTGCGGTCTGTTCGCCTGAATTGGTGAAATGTGATTGGTCTAAGAAGGAATTAGGATTTGTACGAAAGTAACTCCGCGTGACAGAAAAAAGGCCCAAAAAGAGGGTCACGCGAGACCCTAACCAGTGCTTACAACTGTCTCAGGAAGTGGAGTACCAGAAAGTAAATTAAGTCATACGCAGCTGTCATCCCCACGCAAGGAAGCACAAGATGCCGAACACCCTTAGCAGGATGCGGCGCACCCTTCATGCGACTCGCTGAATGCCTCACGGCACTTCGCGCTTGGTGATGTGAGAGCCTGGTCCGGTGAGAACCCGGCGTGCGCCGTCCCGGCTTTGTAGGGATGCGAGGTCAATGGACTAACAACTGCGGCATGCACGTCAATGAGTATACCCCCCCCGCCCCCCCCCGGGGGGGGGCCTTCCCCACGGTGTAGCGTTGGAAAAATAGAAACGAACCCCCCCCGGTACGTCAGTCCCCCCGGAGGGTTTGGTTTCAGAAAAAGAAATGATCGCATCCCCGGGGGGAAACTCCGACATTTACGGTATATTTATCTCATTCTCGTGAAATAAAAAAAAAACGAGCGTATTTCAGCATCGCACCGAGGAACACCAGTACATATCACTGTCCGGGCGGAGACGAAAAGCTACCCTGATGGCTTTTCCTTCAACATATCGCGAAGAGTTCACTGAACCTCCCCCTGCGGCTTGGCTCTACGGCTCTGTTGAGTTTCATGAGAAAACGAATGAACGGTTTCCGAAAGAAGGTACTGCATCTCACGGTACTCTCCACCGGTTTACTTCGCGTACAGATAGGATCGAACGTCCTCCAAGCGAGAGATAATCTCGCCCTCGGTGAAGGACGAGGTTACCCACGACTCTTGTTTTGGCGGCATCTGATGGACCGCCGGTAGATGGGAGGAATCTATCCATACCAACACCCAAGTACAGCTGCAGCAGCAGACCGCTCGCTACGTCTGCTGTCTGTGCGTCGCTACTTCTGCACTTAATGTGGTGCGTGGTGGGTGCAAAGAGCGGCCCGCAGGACACAGAAAAGGGGGTACGCGGCAGACAACAGGGGGTACCCCATTCTCGTACATTCTACCGGACCCCCTGGTGCTCAGAGAAAAGGTTTCTCTAAAGTGGGGCCTTAACGCGAGCGTCCTCAAAGCGGGGTCGACTGTACAAGCTGTAGGTTCGATTCTCTCTCCGGCGTGAACAAAACCAATTTTACGATTCTGCCGGGGCTCTTCAAAAAGTACGTGTTTCCGAGCTAAATTCAGCTTTGTCGCGGACCGACCCTCTCATTCCGATTCCCCCATCCTTGCCCGGCTGTGTCTCGAAAGCCGATGCCCACCTATGGCCCAAGGCTCGCGATATTTCGACTGACTATGCCTTGATGGGGCATCCCAAATAATTGCCAGTCACCATTTTTGATCGACAACCCCCGCGTGCCCCCCGTGCCCTCGGGCACCCCTGGTTCGTGCCCTCGGGTGTGCCATTGCTCTGTAGACTACTGCTGTAGTGGGCGAACCTCGTAAACCTACGTAAACCTTCTGTATCTAGCGGCAAGTTTGCACTGCTGCATGCACAGATGCATAGGTTCGATTCTCTCTGCGGAGTGAACAAAATCCATTTTAACGATTCTCCCAGACGCACGCAGCACCCAGAGATTTTTGTGAACTCTTTCTCGCGGGACAAATCGAAGTACTGTAGCAGGTCTTGAGTTTGGTTATCTCTCGGAGAGTGAGCAATAGGATTTGCGCTTCGGTGGAAAAGCGAATACGAGTGTACCTACTGATGTAGTTCCTGCACCTAAGTACACACCCAAAAGAACTACAGCCACGCAAGATACTATGTAATTTTCTATTTTTCGAGTCTGTACATATCATCTTCCCGTATGTGAATTAATTTTTCCTGACGTATATATATATAGTCTATGCAAGGGTCCGGAAATTTTGAAACGTCAAAATCGGGTGGAGCTCAATTTTTCTTTCTCGCAGGAGGAGCAGTCGAAGTCGCCCGATTTTTCGATGAACGGATTTCTTACAATTTCCTTGGGGCCGTCGCATCCTGCTGATTCTCTTTTCTCTTATTTCCTTGTTTCCGCTGATGGCGAAGAAAACAGCAACACACCAAACCTTCATGCTGGATTAAAGCTCGGTGTAGCGAGCATTGGGGGTTGTGGTAGTACACAAGTACAGCAGCAGTGGGTAACGCAGCCCGCGGCGGCGCTGGAGCGCGGGGGGGTGCTTCGAAAATTCCCAATCTCCACCCCTGTCAAAAAAAAAAAGTTAAATGATATTAGCTAGGTAGGGGGCGGGAGCATGGCAGCAGCAACAGCAGTGGGACGGGACACGCTCCCCCAGCTTCTAGACTACCCCTTGTTTCTTTCGTCTTGGGGTATCGCACGATCGATCATCTTTCTTGTTCGAACGTTTCTTATGTTGTGGCCGAGATGACTTGTGTATCTTATTATCAAGCCCTTGTTTTCTTACTTTTTTTCCGTAATAATTTGAGCCATTTTTTCTGAACAGAATGTTTCTTAACTGCGGGCCCTATCTGGTGAGGGACTGCTGAATGAAACGTCGTGTGTCGCAATCGCGATAGTCCTCCGGTGTTGGAGCCGTCCCGCCGTGGTACACACTACTGTACTGCTGCAGGCCTATTTCGCGTGTCGGACGGATCTGTACATAGCTGCACAGACTACTGGAGACGGTGGCATTGGACACACAAGCACTTCACGCACCACTTTCGGCGTCAAAAGTCACACTCATGCGTATTGGTATCGCAGAAGCAGATGTAACGGCACTGCTGCTGCGTAATTACGCTCAGGCGGCAGCAGTGCTGATGCAGTTGTGCCGAAACCGGCTCCTTTTGAGGTGTTGTGGTTGTCCCAGGTAGTGCGGGTATACGTGGTGGGCACTTCGGGGGAAACTGACCAATAAGGAACGTGGATTCGACTACATACATAGGCATGATAGAGAGCGGCACTAATCACAGGTATGGATTTTCATACGTAGGCTGATGCCCGGTATGCGCACATGGCAGTATTGAACCGCTCGAAAGCCTTGTTGTAAAATCGCCGCTTTCGATGCACAACAAAGAACTTCAATTTTGGTATACATGTCCATCAGAATTTTCACGTCAGTTCTTCTCCTCAGGTATTGTAGCATTCGATGAGCGGCATCAATTGCATCACCTTCCACGGGCGGTGCATTTCACACTTCTCCCGTACGTGAAAGTCCTTCGCCTGGTACAATCTCAATCTTGGTAGGGCTTGAACCATCCCATACTCTACTCGATAACGTTGATGTTTTTTGCCATTCCAATGCGTTTGACAACCGCCGAGCGTTCCCCGCCCCCGATTACACCTCTTCCTTCTTTCTCCAATGCCGACAACACGTGCCTCCGCAGCAACTACACAGCAAGCCCTCCCAGCAGATATACGACGACCTGGTCGACGCCGTCACGAAGAGCACGAGCAAGAGGGCAGAGATGATGCTGATGGACATCTTCGTCATCGCTTTGGAGTACATCAAGAGTGTGAGACGCACACAAGTATACATGCTGCTGTAAAGACGACGGGTCTGTGCCGAGGTCGCTGGTTTGTCTCTGTCGCCTCCCCCGTCCTCCCCTGCTACGCCCTCCTCCTCTTCGAGCAGAGGCCACTGTGGCGCGTTTCGAGTACTCCGCGTTCTGGCTTTGCACATGGGGACGCGCAGCAGTGCACGCTCCTCCCTCCGAACGACCCTCTCGTTCTGCTTCGGCAGCTGCTCTGAAACTTGTCGCCAATGCCCCCGTGTCCCGCGCGTCGATGCCACCCGCGGCCGCCACCAGGTTGCCCTCAGGCGCATGACACTGACCCACCCGGTCTCCGCCGACGACGTGACGTGGGTGTTGACGGTGCCCGTCTGCTGCAGCGAGCCGGCCAAGCACTTCATGAGGGAGGCCGCGACGAAGGCCGGCTTCATCAAAGGCGGAAGCGACGACGAGGTGACCCATGTATTGATGGTAGTGCTTCGCTCCGCCGCGCGCCCGGCGCGGAACGCTCTTTTGTGTCATCTTGGGTCACAGGCATTAGGCTGATGGCGAAACATGCAGAGCCCTGATTTGACGCTTGCTCATGATGAAAAATAGGTGGATTTGACCGGTGTGTACCTATGGTACTCAAACGAATGCCTGCGCCATCTCCGGAGCTAAGAAGTGCTTTGCCTTTCTTCACAAACACGAACTACGGTTGTTGGACGTTTTTGACAGGAGGGATGGTCAATTATTTGTAAGGTTAGGGCAAACCAGCAGAGGTTGTTCCAAGGCAGGTGTTTGCTGTTGATGTGCGATCCCTGGTGCGAGACAGTTGGCACACACACATACGCACACTCTCACACACACAGACGGACGTCTTTTCGTTGGTCAGCCGGTGAGCACGGTCGATACTAATAATAGACACACACACACACACAACCGGTCGTGTGCTCCCCGTCCTGTTTTTATTTTGTTCGTGTTGCCTCCTCCCCAAGGATCTCGTTCTGTGCATGGAGCCAATCGCCGCCTGCCTGGCCCTTGGAGACAGGCTGCAATGGAGGATGGGGGACAGGTACCTGGTGAGTCTATCTGCCCGTAGTTTTTTTTTTCTCCCATCATTGGACTCTGTCGTCTGCCCCTCTGGCCCCTATCCTCCACTTCTACTAGCTAGACGACCCAAGCGGGGTCACATAGGAGGGGGGGGTTTAACCCCCTCCTGCGGTTCATGCCTGAGGTATTTTTATCGCGAGAAGGGTACAGCAATCCCTTCCCTCGCGACTTACGAAGTCGATTATGGTTTACTAACAAACGAGCTTTGCAGCGCGTCGCTTTCATCCTAGACCAGGACTTATTTTGTGAGAAAAAAACTCTCTGCCGGGACTCGAACCCATGACCTGGCCCTTTGCAGGCTGCAAGGCTACCCACTAGATCACCGGGGCGAAGTATTCACGCGCAGAGACGAGCAGTTCACGCGAAAATTCAAAGGCTGCCCTGTAATTTGCCTTTTGCGGCGCACGACAGCTTGTTTGTGGGTTCTTTTGTCTTGATCCTGTCTTGTCGATTTTGTTGATATGGAATCGATCAGATCCGCGCCAGTCTCTCGAGCCCCGTTCTTTCTGCTGAGAGGGCGATGTATTGCTTATCGCGCGGGATTATGTTGACATGCCACCTGCATGCTCGGCCGAAGAGACCGAAGGCCAAAGAAGCACATAGTCCGCCGCTGGACCGTCGAGCCCGCGGACAAACCCGTGTATTCCTCGAGATGGTGGCTGTCACCGCAGTAAGCAAGAAAAAAGAAAAATAAGAGCGGCCCCCTCCTGGACATATTTGTTGTCTGCTTGTGGAGCTACCGGTCCGGTTCGATCAGTTGCGAGGCTTGCACGCGCGCAAGAATAAACCTCCACGCACTACTGTGCCTGTTGCGGCGACGGCGACCACTACTCGGTCACCAGGTGATCGACTGCGGCGGCGGCACGGTGGACATTTCCGCGTTCGAGGTGATCAGCAGCGCACCGCCGAGCCTCGAGCAGCTTGGAGAGGCGAGCGGCGGGCCGTGGGGGTCCACGAACGTGGACAGGCAGTTCGAGGCTTACCTGAAGGCGAGTTGGCTTGGCCAAAATTGTGTCCCCAAAACGTAAGAAAAGAAGGTACCCGACAAACATTGAACACACGCGACCTATGTACATGCAGCATATGTATCATTTTGAGCTCTGGAGGCTGGCCCCTGATCTGTGTGTGCCTTGGTATAGGCAGGCGGTGTTCTGCAGCGAAGAAAACGAATCCCGCCTGGGGAGCGAGTAACTGCTGCTCGTATTCCCCGGTTCGGTCGGTTGATCGAATTGAAAGCCCGCAACATAATCTGCTGTTGCTTATGTAACCAGCGCACACTTTCCGTGAACTCGTCGCCACCGCGTGTGTCCCCCTACGATCAGGATTTCGTGCTATCCGTTGCTCAAGAAGCCGGGGCAAGGGCCCTGGAAAGCTTCTTCGCCAGCTCGGCCTCGTACCGGATTAACCAGGTGCGATGATTGCGCGCTTGAATTGAATAGTGACGACCAGGGTTTCTTGCAATTTTCCTGGTGCGTTCTTGGACAAGGACAGGCAGTGGTCTAAACACGAAATCCCCCCCACCCCCAAGGTGAGTCCCCCCCCGGTGTTGCCATCGGGGTTGGATTTTCGTCGCTTGGCAACGACGTTGTAGAACAAGTCAGTTCACTTCGTAAACTCGGCAACCTGGTTACCGTTTTTTTCTTTTCACCTCTGTTTTTTTTTTTTTGGCGGCAACCATAATGGTATTCGAGTAGATCATGTTGTGCGGGGTCGAGAACCCTCACTTCGCGCAAGGGGGATGATCGCACCACGTTGTGTTAAACTGGTCAAGCATCCTCGAGGCAGTTACACCGGTCGCCCCGGTGGTGTAGTGGGTAGCTTTGCAGTCTTCTAAGGGCCAGGTCATGGGTTCGAGTCCCGACAGAGTGAGTTTTTTTCTCACTAAATATATCCTGGTCTCCGTTAGAAGCGACGCGCTGCAAAGCTCGTTGTTAGTGAACTTGATCGACTTCAAAGTCGCGAGCGAGGGAAGGGATTGCTGTACCCTTCTCGCGACAAAAATATCTCAGGCAGGAACCGCAGGAGGGGGTCCAACCCCCCCCCTCCTGTGTGACCCCGGTTGGGTCGTCTAGCAGGTAGAAGGGGAGGATAGGGGCCAGAAGGGCAGACGACATAATCCAATGATGGGAGAAAAACAAACAAACAACAGTGCTTACAACTGTCTCTGGAAGTGAAAGAACAACTGTCTCTGGAAGTGAAAGCACCAGAAAATATGTCAAGTCATACGCGGCTGTCATGCGACGCAAGGAAGTAAGCACAAGATGCCGAACACCCTTAGCAGGATGCAGCGCACCATTATACGACTCGCCGAATGCTTCACGGCGCTTCGCGCTTGGTGATGTGAGAGCCTGGTCCGGTGAGAACCCGG